CCCGTCGAGCTGCTGATAAGACTGCTGACAGCGCTAGATAGCCTGCCGTCAGGGACTTCGCGAGACCTGCGAGAGAGCATTCGCGACGTCTTGGGTCAAGGAGGCCTCCGCCAGGACTCAGGCGCGCGTGTGCACGAGGCAAGGCGGCGTTTTATGTGTTTGTTTTATTCGTCTAATTCTGTCCTCTTGTCCTTTTCTTTGTGTTGGTTTATAGGTATACGTATATATATATATATATATATATATATATATATATATATATATATATATAATATATAAAAATACAATTAAAGAATCAAGCAGGCACATGTACTGCATGTACAATACATTTAATAGGGAAATGTTTATTCATCAGATCAGCATAATGAGAACAGCTCTGAAAACCAGGTAATGTTCATTTAGAAACATTTATAGCAACTTCCATATGGTTTGCATCTTTGTAGGTTTAAAAGGTAGCAATAGTATCGTTGTACGTATTTTTTTTCTTTGGAAATAAATAAAAATGGCGAATGGGAGAAATCTGTGAACGATATGCAAATATCTCGTTTAATCTTTTTGGGGCATTAGCTGATCGAAAATAAATTTGAAGAATTCACTTATTCTATCGTTTTAACTTTTGCTTATTTTTTTTTCTCATAATAGGAAGAAATACAACAAAAATACGTTTTTCAGTGCTTCAGAACAGAATGAAACCAGTTCGACAACAGTAACTGTCCTGAGCCCTCGACGGCACATACCCATGTGTTTCTTTTCCTTTTTAGCTTATAAAAAGTTCTAACTTCAAATAGCTATTTAATAATAATAAAAAAAACTGACATAAAAAAAAATTTGTGATAGAAAACCGAAAGCCATTAGAACTGATTAATGCCATGAAAATTATAGTTTGACAAACCTTTACCAGTTCATTCGATGGCGTAGATAAGATAATGTCCCGCGAAACATCAAAACTGTTGCTACAAATCCGACCGCCTTCCACCTGCTTGCCTTCATTACTGCATAATAATCCTATAAAAGACCTTAAAGACCATTTCGATCTTGTCCTGCATCGAGCCATATAGGGAAATGCTTTTCACAAGCTCATGACAACTAAAGTCACGTCACTATAAATCCCTCCATTATGTAGTAATGGCTGAGAATTAGCCTTCTCGTGTGTGCTTCCGCTGTCAACCACTCTCTAGTCTTTAGCTAAGATGAATGTTTTTTTTCATTAATGGAGATCTGAAAGGATAAAGTTCACGGCATGTATTAAAAGACCCTCGCCTGAAACGCACAAAATCAGACGAAATATGAGGCGACTTCAGGCGCTCTGATAACTGCATGCGAGCTCCACCCGACAGAGGCAGGGCCATCAACGATCGTCGACTCCGCCTCAAGGGCCTCGCCCCTTTGGGCTCATCCTTAATACGGCGCGGTCGCATTGAGGATGAGCCGAGGTCGGGCACGTCCGTAGCTTCCCACCTTTGGGAACGCACGAAGATCACCCCCAGAGGCCTCGTCTTGCGGAGACTCCTTTCGGCTGCAGTTCCCCCTGACAGATTGACCTGCCTGTGGCGCCCAGCCAGTCTACCGCGTTAATAGGCGAACCGCGTCATGTTTCCAGACTGGCAGCGCTATAGATTATTATACACATTATCCCAGCCGGTTCAGTTGCGACGTTTGCTTGGTGACGCCACGTTCTTGGGCACCTCCCCCCCCCCCCCCCCTTGATAATAATCGATGGTCCAGCCGCTCGTGGGGATGTATTGCAGGGCCATAACTTATTGCGCAGCACGTTATCAGGTCGTCGAAAGGATAATGATAATTATATCGGTCACAACCACTTTCTGTCCAGTAGCTCATATATATATATATATATATATATATATATATATATATATATATATATATATGAGTGTGTATGTGTGTGCGTGTGTGTGTATTATGAATATGGAAGTATGTAAAGTATAGAAAGAGAAACAGTTAATTAACAGAGCGAAATGAGACCAGTCAGAAACTGTGGGCTAATATACAGGGCACCGTGTTTTGCAGGCTCCCTCAGGGCTAACCTGTGCAGTCTGCAGGTCGACCTACAACGCGCACGATCGTCGTCCGCTTATCTTCTCCAGCTGCGGCCACACCTTCTGCGAGGAATGCCTTAGTAAGGTTTCTGTTGTTTGTCTTTCTGTGAAATCTGTGTTTGGCTTAATGTCTGGTTTCTTTCCTGGTTTGTGCTTCTTTGTTTTTTTTATTTTATTATTTATTTATTATTATTTTTTTTTTGGCGTTGCGTTGTGTCTTTGTTTTCAGTGTCTTGGTGCCTCGTTTTTTTGTTTGTTTTATTTCTGCAATAATTAATATGTTGCTGTAAGAGAAGATACAACGGGTGACAGGGTAAAATATACATATATGTGTGTTTGTATGTGAAATAACGTTTAAATGAATGAATAAATGAATAAGTAGATGAATAAGATACATACGTAGATAGAATAGATAAGAATGTCTTAGAAATAATAAATTAGAAAAATGTAGATAAATAAGTGAAATGAATAGATACATTTAGAGAAGGCTTAATGAGTAAATGGAAAGGCAATGAAAATCTTTCCTTCAAGGGACGGAGAACCGCAAGAGTGTGTTCCAGTGCCCTTCTTGCCGGCAGGACCGCGACCAGTTCTGGACGCTGAAGCCTAACTTCGCGCTGCTCGACCTGCTCGAAGCGGTACGTGATTTTCTTCTTTTTTTAATGTATGGTTTTGCGTGTATGTATGTGTGTTTGTGCGTGTGTGCGTATGTATGTGTGTGTGCGTGCGTGTGTGTATGTGTGTTCGTGTGTGTGCTCATGTGCGTGGTTGGTTAGTGCATGTGAAATTAACCTTGGCTAATGGAAAGAGGTCCTTCCCAGGAGATCAGGGACGACGAAGACGACGAAGACGACCTCAAGAAGGGTCTCCGCATGGACGACGACGACCTGCTCTCCCTCGCCCTCCACATGTCCGCACAGGAGGCCGAGAACAAGGAGTACAGGCGTCAGGTCGCCGCCTTACTCGCGCGAGAGCCCGCTGGGGCCGGCGACGTCCCCGGAGCGGAGGGCGGCTGGCAGGAGGAGGCAGAGGGGCGTCCGGGGAAGGAGGAAGCTTACTGCCATGAGGAACTTGAAGGTCTTGATGGGAAAAAGCTCCGCCTTGAGAAGGAGGAGGCTGAAGGAGAGAGGAAAACATGCTTCTGGTTGGAGGAGGAAGAAGAACTGCAACTGGCCATGGCTATGTCACTATCTGTAAGCATTTTCTGTTCACTATATAACATCAATATCACTTTAGAGTTGAGTCTCCCCTGTCTAGTTATAAATGCTCTTATATAACACATAATTCTAACACTGCGATACACAGATCATTATTTGCAACTCATTATACTTGTATGTGAGGGCATTTACATGTATGCCAAATAAATGCTCCATGTCAGTGCCAATTAGTACGTTTTACAAAATGGCCTTTTATTCCAGCTCCAGACAAGCGAGTAAGAGGCAGCAGATTATTATGATACAGAGTAAACGCGCTGCAGCATCATGAAGGAGAATTGAAGCCCTAAACACAAACACACACAATGTTTGTGGAAACCTCACGTTGGCAGTGTGATTATGCGGTATCCGTGAATTGTGGTCACCTACATTTATATAAGAAGTACAGCTTATTAAGTGATTATGTATAGTTTATTATTGTATAATATTCATGGGAAATATTATGCAGGCACATCACATTTATTTACTCAGTTGATTTTCAAAGAATCTAAATGGATTCTGACTTTTTGTCATCCATACATATGGTCATTGACTGTCCCAAAACCTAAAGATAGTCCCTGTTAACAAAACTAAAAAGGTTTCACAGATAAAACTCGATTGCAATATCTCTTTAGGCTGTAAGAAAAGAAAAATCTTGCAACTGGAGCACCAAGAGAAATCTGGAAGAAAGGGTGTTGCATTAACATTAATTTCTACACCTGAACCATCGGCTTTAGGTCCAACATCAACAACAGTTTCAGAGCCAGCACCAGCCTCTCCGTCAGGCAAAGCTAAGGCCTGTTGCGGATGCTGTTGCAGAGACTGACCTGATGAGATGAGATACTTATATGAACATGAACAACGAAGGTCATTGGCTCTGCTAAAAACCCACAGGGACTAAATTACTGGTATTACCTTTAGCATTATTAACATTATTATTAACATTAAGAAGTAGGAAATGAATAATTTTTTATTATTAATATATGTGTAGTTTTGATAAGCTACTTAGTGCAGTCTTCCTTGCCTTTTCCAGGATTTTTAAACAGTCTTGTAGAGCAGCAGTTTCACATGAAAATTAAACTCTCTTCTCTCTCTCTCTCTCTCTCTCTCTCTCTCTCTCTCTCTCTCTCTCTCTCTCTCTCTCTCTCTCTCTCTCTCTCTCTCTCTCCTCTGGACTGACGAGATGTCTTGACGAGCATGACGGTATTTTCATTTTATAAACTTGTCTTGTTATTATATGTATTTCCATCTTGGTTATATGATTTTATCTTTTAAATGATTTTATTCATGTTTACATTATTGAAATCGTCCCTTTAGCTTTTTAGATATGTCGATGACGTTAGTACTTATAAGAGGCTTTATTTTCAATGGTTTTTGATTATTTGTCTTAAACTGTCAACTATGTACCGTCAGTTTTCCATATTTCTAATTATGTTATTTATAAAATTAGTGAAAATGATGGCAGTGATGTCAGCAAGACGTCGCTATATATACGGAACCGCCATGGCAATAAAGAGAGATCTATGTGAACCTGTGTTTGTGTCAGCCGGAGAGGTCAGCAGAACCAAGGGTGAACTGAGGAAACTTCCCGTTACTTGCCAGGGTCATTTGCAAGACGTCTTTATATTATATATGTTTTCGTTTTTTCTGTTGTTCTTAAACGTATTTTTTCCTTTTCTGGTTTCGTTTTTAAGTTTCAGTTTCCTTTTAGTGTCTTTTTCTTACCTTGGTATTTTAAGTAAAGTAACGTAATTTTACTATGTGTGAATTTATGTTATACATTTTAAGCCTTAAGTAGTTTTATTTTTTTCTGTAACTTTTATTTCTTCTTTTGTCATATTTTAAATGATAGGCTGAGTCACAAGGACTTTTTGTAATACTTCTCCGCTCTGGGTACATGTCATACCCGTATATGATCCTGGGTCATTGCCCGCTACCCTATCACAAGCCCAGGATTTGCGCTAACCCTTTCACTGATACGCTCTGTAATCATTTGCATCTCCTGTGTGATAGGCATTTTGTGCATTTCCTGAATATTTGCTGCAGTTTTGAATATTTCAGATGTGGCACATGTGCATACAATTATCAGACAATAAAGCAACACATTTTACATTATTAGTTATGAAACAAAGGATTTATAGTTGGCTTTAGTCGTACGCCTAGCAGCGTCGTTACACTTAGTTCAGGCACTAATAATCTCTTTATATATATATATATATATATATATATATATATATATATATATATATATATATATATATATATATATATATATATATATATATTATATATATATATATATATATATATATATATATATATATATATATATATATATATATAACATATATATGTATATATATATATATATAATATATATATATATATATATATATATATATATATATATATATATATATATATATATATATATATATATATATATATTATATATTATGTAGATATGTGTAATATATATATATACATACACATACACACACACTCACACACACACACATATATATGTGTGTGTGTGTGTGTGTGTGTGTGTGTATGCAATAAACTTCACGACCAGTGTTAATAGAAAAACAAGCATTTCTTTCTTCTTTAATCCAACTAAACTGGTATCTTCTTTGAACAAAAACAGTTCTTCCAACATCAAAATCATACGTTTCGAGTGTTCAACACTCATCTTCAGTGATGACAAGAAATAACTGTAAAGGATATACGGAACATTATCCTTCATTTTACAAAACATATTTGCAAAACAGTTAAGATAAATCATATCACTAATAGTATTTATAAAACATGAAAAAGGGGGATACGAATTACTAGTATCAAGACTTTACATTACATATCGAGATAATAAAATATAAGGGTTTATGAAAAGTTATTATATAGATTGATACAACAGGTTGAACAGTTCATGTTTGACCTTGAAATCAATCAACAATATTAAACATGGCAAGAGCACTATACTCTAAATGAATTGGAAAAGTGATTTAGTAATGAAAAATTTTCTAGACTATAAAAGCCATCATGTAAATATGACAAACCATGCCATTCAAGATAAAGTAAATACCATCAATATTGATACAACACATTACTGAATTGCAATAGATTATTATGACTGAAACACATTCTAGGGAAACATTGGTATTCTGGGAAATTACTAGGTTATAAGGTTAAGACATTGAGTAAACTATGACAAAAAACGTAAGTCAAGAAATTCATAAAAATCATTCAAATCAAAATAACACATTATTGAATAAAATACATTATTACAATTGAAACATATTATAATGAAACGTTTGTAATGACGAGACATTTAATGGAGAAAACTTGAGCTAAAATGGGACGAAATAACGACCAAAGCCCCTGACGTCATCAAGGCAAAACCGGCAAGATCAAACTCGGCAAATACTATATATAAACCTTGAATATGGGAATTTTACACACTGATCTCGAAACTAGGGATGTTAATTAATACATTGGTAACAATAATACAGAATACTAATCATAATTATTACTAAATATATATATATATACTATATATATATATATATATATAATATATATATATATATATATATATATATATATATATATATATATATATATATATATATAATATATATATATATATATATATATATATATATATATATATATATACACACACACACATATCTATATCTATCAATCTATCTATCTATTTATGCGTATATGTATGTATGTGAATATATATAAATATATATATATTTACACACACACACACACACACACACACACACACACATATATATATATATATTAATATAGATTTATATACCTATAGATATGTATTTATGTATATATATATGTGTGTGTGTGTGTGTGTGTGTGTGTGTGTGTGTGTGTGTGTGTGTGTGTGTGTGTGTGTGTGTGTGTGTGTGTGTGTGTGTGTGTGTGTGTGTGTGTGTCCACGCACGCATACACATACATTGTTCAGTTGTTATGGAGAATGAATATACTATATAAAGCATTTGATACGTTTATTATAATGTTCATTACATAGATCTCGAGCTCTGTTTCTACCTTTTCCTTCCCATCACTAGCAGGACTACGGAAAAGGTGTATTCATCAACAGTTAAACCGAACTCATCATATCATATGCATATTGTAAAAACGGAAAATGGAATTATCGAATGACCAAAGGACAGTAAAATCACGAAAGTCACGGCATGACCAAATACGGATATGGGTTGCAGTCCACCAGCAGTGTGTCTGATTTCCATGAGAGAGAGAGAGGAGAGAGAGAGAGAGAGAGAGAGAGAGAGAGAGAGAGAGAGAGAGAGAGAGAGAGAGAGAGAGAGAGAGAGAGAGAGAGAGAGAGAGAGGGATGGAGAGGTCTTATTCAAACGCTTTATTTGTCTTAAAATCTACATCGGAACAGAAAATATTCAAAAGAAATGAAAATAAGGGACTGGATTATATATTGGTTTTACAACTACACAAGGCTTATAAGAGGGAATCGAGATGTTAAATCATCAATCTGACTGAACTTTATTGGTCTTAGTGGATCAATGCATATGGTAAACATAACAGTTCGGTGATATTCTTTGAGAATGTTTAATCTGATCTAGATTCAGGTTTACGTAAACTTCCAAGCTCTAAATTCATTATGACAAAAAATCGAGACTTGGCATTAGAAGAGCACTTCCCACAATAACGCGTAAAAAAAAGAAAAGAAAAGAAAAAAAAAAAAGAATAGGTTTTCTAGTTCCACCAAAGAATATTTAGATTGGTGCAACTACTCCATCTTTCTGATAATCCTAGTTGGCAACTTCTGAGGTATGCCCCACGTCATCAAATATTTGATATTTGCTTTATTTCTATAATTTTTGGTTTCTTTTTTTTCAATATTATTTTACCATTTTCATTAGTAACCATTTTCAAAGAAAATACATTGAAAAAACTAATCATAAAATATCATACACATTTTGTATGACCACGTTTAGCCAATGAGAGTGCACCGTGTGATATCAGATGTAGCTAGATACATAGTTATTTGTATAATTTACTCGATATTCTCAAAGAATATCACCGAACTGTTATGTTTACCATATGCATTGATCCACTAAGACCAATAAAGTTCAGTCAGATTGATGATTTAACATCTCGATTCCCTCTTATAGGCTTTGTGTAGTTGTAAAAACAATATATAATCCAGTCCCTTATTTTCATTTCTTTTGAATATTTTCTGTTCCAATGTAGATTTTAAGGCAAATAAAGCGTTTGAATGATGCAGTAGTATTAGCATGATCATCGTTCTTACTTTGATCATGACTATCACGTGATTACCAAAGTCATTCATTTTCACCAAAAGCTTTTTGTGAACGCCTGTATCGCCCCTTCCGGCGTGTATTAGGTCACGCGAAAATAACTAATATGACAGTACTCCATAAGGGCGAAGATCTGACATGGTGTGACCCACGTAAGGACGAGAACACAATACCGAAATGACAGTTCTCAACAACACTGTAACATTCTCTCTCTCTCTCTCTAAAAAAAAAAAAAAAAAAAAAAAAAAAGAACACGTGTGAGACAATATATCTATCTATCTATCTATCTATCTATATATATATATATATATATATATATATATATATATATATATATATATATATATATAAATCGATTCTTATTGTCTGTATCATCATTTGAATATTTAAAACTACTCGAGATTGCAAGTCACCCTCATGGCTTCTGGTGTTGCATCGGCAGTGGTGTTGCTGGTGTTGGCGTTACTCCGGACACACACAAACACACACAAACACACACACACACACACACACACACACGCACACACACACGCACAACACATACACATGCGAAGAGGGAAGGCGAGAAGAGGCAGAGGTAGAGGGAAAAGGAGGGGGGGGAGAGAGAAAGACATAGTGAGAGGGTCGAGGAGAGAGAGACCGACAGACATACAGACAGGAGGGAGAAGAAGGAAAGAGAAAAAGGAAGAGAGACAAGATGAGCAGAAAGGGGCTCTAAATGAGAAATGTATGCTACAAATAATACCGAAAGAAGTGACTAGAAAACAAATGAAAATTGATATCCGAATTTGTGAAACAACTATATGAACAGGAAAAGAAAAGAGAGAGAGAGAAAAAAAAAAATGCTTGTTCCCAGTTGCAAGTCTTATCTCCACGTACTGTAAAGATAAGGAGGGAACATAACCCTTGATTTTGGGAGGCGTTAATCATTCCTCATGGGACCTTGAAGAGATCTTTACCTTATCGAGTTTATGAAACGGCGTTGATAAATATACTGTGATAGTCAAGCGTTTAGCTGCGACCATTTTATGAGCTAAGGATGCATTTGAAATATAGGATATGATTTTTTCTTTTTATTTCCGCGCATGTAAATGATCTTTTTAGTTGCAGAACAAATACTGCAGTTATCGTTATGAATGCCTTTTTCCGTTGATTTCTTTAAGGTTCTCACCTTCAAGGCATGAGACACGACTTTTACGGCATATGGTGAATACAGTCATAAGCAAATTGGAAAAGGAAGAGAGAGATAGAGAGATAGAGAGAGAGGATTTTAAAATGATTTTATATATGGCGCCTATTTTGATTATCTTTTTTCTACCAAAGGCATTTTATGCTTATATTTTTCAACAGAAATGCATTAGATATAATTGTAGAGCGTCCTGTATCTAGTGGACGAAGAATATACCCTGTCCATGCCTTATATATTCCTTTTTAAAAGAATAATGAAAACAATTTCTTAGCGAATGCGTCTCAATCCCTTTCTCGATTTTGTATGTTGTGAATACAGCGCATATATATAATAGTTTGAACAAGTAATCTGCCTTTATTAGCCATAAAGGGAGACAACTTTCGAAGACATGCCTCTGTAAAGCCGAGAAAAGATATATCTCGCTCCTGTAATCGGAAGATGTGTGTAAACACAGACAGAGAAAGAAACAGAAGAGATATAATGAGAAAGTGGGAGAAAAGGAGAGAGAGACAGATAGACAGACATAGAAAGAGACAGAAGAAAAATTGTGAAAAATGGAGAAAAGGAGAGAGAGAGAGAGAGAGAGAGAGAGAGAGAGAGAGAGAGAGAGAAGAGAGAGAGAGAGAGAGAGAGAGAGAGAGAGAGAGAGAGAGAGAGAGAGAGAGAGAAGAGAGAGAGAGAGAGAGAGAGAGAGAGAGAGAGAGAGGAGAGAGAGATAATGCCCGTGCTGTGGAAATGAGACTGTACATAGTTTTTTCGTAACGCATTCTACGTCTAACAGCGCATTCACCAGCCAATCGGAGTTTATGAAGAATAACGACATCAGCCAAAGTCCTACGCGTTTGGAGTTTGTAATCTACCAAAGATGCCCATAAACACACATATACACACTCACACATATATGTGTGTGTGTGTGTGTTTGTGTGTGCCTATGTGAGTGTATGTGTTTGTTTGTGTGTGTGCATGTGTGTCTGTGTGTGCTTTTGTATGTATGTGTATGTGTGTTGTGTATGTTATATTTCTAGATTATCTTAATGAGAAAAGAAATGCCATGCACGCAGACACACATTATATATATATATATATATATATATAATATATATATATATATATATATATATATATATATATATATATATATATATATATATATATATATGTATATAGATATGCATATATACATTATATATATATATATATATATATATATATATATATATATATATATATATATATATTATATAATAGAGAGAGAGAGAGAGAGAGAGAGAGAGAGAGAGACCCTTAAGTATATAAGTATGCATATATGTGTGTGTAAATATAATATATATATATATATATTATATATATATATATATATATACATATATATTTACATACATATAGTGTATGTGTGTGTGTTTACATGCATACCTACACTTATATAGTTGAATGGTTATGGAGAATGAATATACTGTATGCTGCTTATGACACTTTTATTGTAAAATTGATTATTCAGAAGACCAGGAACTCTGAGTTTCTCTCTTAGCCTTTCTCTCACTAGCAGGAAGCAACTCTTATCTCTAATTCTGTATATTAAACGCATAAGGTGAAAAAAGTAACAGAGAGAGAGAGAGAGAGAGAGAGAGAGAGAGAGAGAGAGAGAGAGAGAGAGAGAGAGAGAGAGAGAGAGAGAGAGAGAGAGAGAGAGAGATTTTCCAGTAAAATTGCTGCTCTTCAGGACAGTTTGCAAGTCCTGGAAAATGCAAGGAAAGATTCCAGTCATCAATTCAATCCGAATGAACGCAAATGGGTCATGGCACAGCATTAAAGCTGCACTTAGTAACTTAGCAAGTAATGAAAGCGACAAGACTGCAAATATATTGATAATATTTTTTTCCCTTCTTAATGTTACAGTTAATATCAGTGATTTAGTCCCTGTGGGTTACCAGCAGAGTCAATGACCTTTAGGCTTTACGTTGTTCATGTTCATATGAGTATCTCATTTCATCAGGTCAGTCTTCTGCAACAACATTTGCTACAGGTTTCAGCTCTCCATGATGGAGAGGCTGGTGCTGGCTCTGAAACTGTTGTTGACCTAAAGCCGATGGTTCAGCTGTAGAAATTAATGCTGATGCCCTCATTTCGAAGGTGATGCAATGGGACTGGGTTGCTAGCAGGAAGGACAGCTTAGAGAAAAGTTTGTCTCATGATCAAGTTTACAGTTAACATATTTCCTATGCATATCATATCTCGCGTGAGGACCTGCACGTCGCCCTCCATGCCGTCGAGTAAGGCGGCGACCAGATGCCTGTACTCCTTGTTCTCGGCCTCCTGTGCGGACATGTCGAGGGCGAGGGAGAGGAGGTCGTCGTCGTCCATGCGGAGACCCTTCTTGAGGTCGTCTTCGTCGTCTTCGTCGTCCCTGGTCTCCTGGACTCCCCTCTGGGAAGGACGTCTTTCCATTAGCCACGGTTAACTTCACATGCACTAACCAACACACGCACATGTGCGCACATTTACACGCACAGGCACACACACACACATGCATACACAAAACATTAAAAAAGAAGCAGAAACGCGTAACGCCCCGAGAAAGTCGAGCATAGCTGGCGGTGGTTTTAAAGTACGGCCCTATGACTTAGCCATGAAGTAGTATTGATGGTGCCTATAAGCTGTGACGTCCGAGTCGCGAATTGTATAATATATATATATATATATATATATATATATATATATATATATATATATATATATATATATATATGGGGGGGGGGTTGGAAGGTTGCTAATAAAATGGAACGCTTGTCGAGAGAAAATACTTTTGAGTTTACCTCAGAGGTATTTGATATAACCGGTTTTTAGCACTGATATTAATGACGTCACAGTTCAAATTAAAAACACAGAGCATAGCTATGCAAATGAATTTTAAGAAGTCTGTGTCAAAAACGAGATTACTATGGGATTCTATACTCACGAAAACAAATTCAACATAAAATAAGTCGTGATATAATTTTTGAGCGAATCACGATCGACCAATCTCACCCAATCACAGCGCACCAGCTTATCACGAGTCGGTTTCCTCGACACCTCGATCTATTTGGCGCTCTCTTACTGCATACCACGTCAGCTGTCATTCTGGTATGAGTGAACCCCGCAAACCAGATCGCTTGCCTGTGGTACCCAGTATTCGGGGGCATTCGATATCGCTTCACAGTGAGTACTGGAGTCGGCTGTTTCGTAGCGTGCAATAACAGTGCTTGTTTTAGAGAAGAGAAGACTTTGCTGCCCGCCATAACACATTCTGGCAAGGAAATCAATCGACTAATGGCTTATAGGACACAAATAGGGCCATACTTTGAAGCGGTGGACCAGTTTCGTAATTTAACCACCCTAGATTCGAACGCCTGTCGTTCCGACATCCCGAACCGGCGTTATATTATTGGAACTTGAGTGGCGGTGGAGCGCCAGCACTAATGTGTCTTTTACGAAGGTATTCGACAGTTTTCTTCTTTACTGTTCAGCCTACACTCAGAGGTTATCTATTTCATGATAGGTACAACGACACAGAAAATTTGGATAGTATTTGTATGATCATTTAGCAACTATTTTAAAATCGAAATATTTTGAGAAGACTTTACTGTATGTATATATCTGTCCAAGATTCCTCACCTCACGTAGGTCCCCTTATTCGCCGTTATTTCTTAAAAAATTAATGAATATGAAACCACCGTATTTAGCACATCCATTAACACGCATTCCATGACTTGAACAAGATGGTAACATGCACAAATAACGAATATTTCGCATTTTGCTAGTCTGGCGCAGCCGAAATATTGCTTAGCTTATGGCATGTGTGTCTGTGTTTGTTTGTTTGTGTGTATGTGTATGTGTGTGTGTGCGCGCGCGTGTGTGTGTTTGTATGAGTATATATGTGTGTGTGTGTGTGTTTGTGTGCGTGCGTGTGTGTGTTTGTATGCGTATATATATGTGTGTGTGCACACACACACACATACACATATATATATATATATATATATATATATATATATATATATATATATATATACATATATAATGTACATATAGATATGTGTGTGTGTTTGTGTGCACACACACACACACACACACACACACACTTATATATATACATACATATATATATATATATATATATATATATATATATATATATATATATATATACGTATGTGCATACACACAGCTTTGATATTACTTTCAATACTTATAGGTGTTGGCTGTAGCTGGACTGTAATTAAAATTAGTAGATAGTCTTGAATTATCTCAGGAGTTTGTCAATGAATGTATCAAAAGTAACATTGCTGTAAGATGTAAGCATTTTCCAACGATAGGTCTGGCCCCTGAAAGCTGAACCCTGCAAACAATGTCAAAAATGTCAGGGTATTTCTAATTTTCCTGGTGTAATTTGGTATTATAATACGATGTGCATGTGTTCCTTTTCTAGAACTATGATATATGGTGCTTGTCCACGACCTCTGTAAAACAGCAGATTTTTGGCAAACATTGATTGCTATACACAATTAGAGCAAACTCAGTTCATGGAATATTTGCTTGAAAATTTAGAAAACTTGAAAATGTATATACATTACGCCCTCATATCCCATTACTACTGTAAGCAACCCATTAAGCAACTAAGACATGACGCATTTCATTTAGGAAACATGAATTTGATAAATATGTCATTTGATATGTGCCAGGGAAGATTGATTTGCGGATATTTTCACATAGAACAGGGATATTATTCTTACAAAGGAACAAGTAAACAGTAATGCTATTAATAATCAAAATTACAATGGGAATGAAATACATGGAAAAATTAGCAGGTGAGAAGGGTTAAGGGGAAAAAAAACACACATAAATACTATGCTCATAAATATTGTGTATGCGTATATGCACGCTTACATATGTTAGAGAGATTGTGTGCATGTGTGACAGTATCAATGTGTATGCGTGACTCATTATTTTGGTTAGTCAACAAACTTTTTTTTAGCTTTTTATAAGTTTAGTTGTACATTAAGAAATGATTAATTGGTATTTAAAGTGACAGCCAATCTGAAAATGTCAACACAATCAAATTTCGAGCTAATATTATGTTTTGATTCGCTTGATAGTAGCGGTCATTGTCGAAGATAGCACCTTCCGTGGCGGCCGAGCGGCAGCAGAGACGCTGGCTGTCCATTGCGCTTGCTTGTCTTTTGGGTGAGGATTCGAGCCCTCGTGAGCGCCAAACCGCGGGCGCCTCCGTTCGAACGTTTTTAAAGTACGGCCCATAGTGTTCGTACTGTTGTTTTTCCTTTGTCTTGATCGGCATTCTCCTGGTTACACTTCCTCTTCATTGCCCTCGTCATCGTTATCATGATTATTATGTCATCATTATTACCATTACCCCTATGGCCATTATCCTCCTCCTCCAGTTATTGTCGTTATTATTACCATTATCATTAAAATTGCCGTCATCATCATTATTACCACTACTAGTACCATCATCAGCACCATCATCATCAGCAGCAGGAACACCATCGCCATCACCACTCTGTCCTCCCCTCTTCTCTCTCACACTCTCCTTCCCTCCCCCTCCCTCCTTTAGATATATTTTACATTTCCTCACATATTCCGTTTCCATCTCCTATGTCATGGTTTGCCGAGGAAGTGTTAACATTAAATACCCAAAATGTCGATTATTGCTAATTCATCATGATCACCAGCACAGGAATGACGGCACTTCTCGATCTATATTTGCTGTGATGTGTTTTTAGCGCTGAGGGATTCCTCGAATGCTGTGGTTACTCCCCTCCTGCATTGCTGCGTTCGGAATCCCTTATCTTGCTCGTCCGGGTAAGCTGTCAGGACGAGCAAGACAACGAGGTCGCGGTCGGAAGCCTCTGAGGCCTTCATTACCCACAATGCATCCAGCTGTGAAGTTAACATTCGCTGTTTTTTATGCGTGTTTATTTTAGAGTATATAGGCTTATAATTACTCTGATGCACAGGCAACTAATTTTCGGAAGACAAGAACTGAAATAACCCTTGATAACTTCAATTACCATAATCTTCTGATTGCCCACAACTGTCAGTGTTTATATGCACAAATGCGAGTGACGTCATCTCGTCTTGTTCGCCTGGCCGCAAAGAGGGCGAGGAGGACATGAGGAACAACTTGTACCGGACGCCAAAGCAGGGGTCCCGAGCCGTCGAAACATCTTGTCAAACGTGTTGGAGAAAAGGATTCGAAGCAAATTAGACATCGTACAGGGACTCCCTCTCTCCTTTTCTCTTTCTCTCTGTATATCATTATCTACCTTCCTCTCTTCCTCCTTGTCTCTAATTTTGCCTTGCTTCTTTCGCTCTACATTGTCGACATCGAAAAAAAGAAGAGGTAAAAAAGGCATAATACGTCATATATATATTTATTTACATTCATTGACTTATTTACCTTATTATTTTTATTATAGATGTCAGTGGCCTTACAAATCACTGAAGTTGTCTTGACTGTGATAATGAAAGTGCCCGACATTATCAGAGTCTTCAAGGAGCTTGGCAACGGGAAGGTGAAACAGGAACACGAGAATCTTGCACAGGTCAGTGGAATAAAAGGAAAGGAAGATGCAAGGGAGGGAGAAGGGAAGGAAAGAGAGGGATTGAGGGAAAGAGGGAAGAGAGTAGGGGGGGGGAGGGAAAGGGGTAAGAGAGCGAGATAAGGGGAAGAGAACAAGAGAAGGGAGGGAAGAGAGATATAGAGGGGGTGGAGAAAGAGAGAGGGGGGAAGAGAGAGAAAGAAAGAGAGGGGGGAGAGAGAGAGAGAGAGAGAGAGAGGGGGGGGGTGAGAGAATGAGAGGAGAAGAAAGAGAGAGAGGGGGGAAGTAAAATTAGAGGAGGGGAAGAAAGATTAAGGGAGCGGAACAGAGAGAGGAATATGAAGAGAGAGGAGGGGGAGAGGAGGAGGGGAAGAAATAGATAGATAGAGAGAGAGGGGGTGCAAGAGAGAAAGGGGGTGAAAGAGAAAAGGGAGGGGAAGAGAGAGAAAAAGACGGCAAGAAAAAGGGGAATATAGAGGGGAGGGGATATGTATGTGTGTTGTGTATGTATATATACACATACGTATATACGCACATATGAATACACACGAATATATATCTATAATTGTGTAAATGTAATTATACATCTAACAGAGTGTGCTTCACTTAACAGGAACTCTGTGCCCTTCGCAAGGAACATGAGAGGGCGTCAAAGACCATTGACGCCCTAGTTGAGGTGAGACAATAATAATTCCTATCAATGATGGTCAAATTATATTCACAGAGAGTTCATGTACTTGCATGATGAATCTGTTGTTCTTAAGGACATATGTAAAAGGAACACACCTTTCCCCATTTTCTTTTTGCGTATATTTATATTTTGTTCTGTATCGCCTCCTCCTTCTCCTCCTTTATATTTTCTTCTTCGTCTTCATTTCTTGTCCTTTTTCTCCGCCTTCTCTTCTACCTCTCCCTCTTCTTATTCTTCCTTTTCCTTATCATCCTCGTCTTCGTCTCGTCGTCCTCTGCCCTCCCTCCTCCTCCTCGGCCTTCGTTCCTCTACTTTCAGTTCCTCCTTCACTAGCATGAGCTGCAGACAGTTCTCCTTTAAACTTCACCTTAAGAAATAGCTGCGAATGCATTCTCTTATCACTAAATCTACCTTCGTTGTTTTGCAGAGCCAAGAACAATTGAACCAAACACTCCAGCTGCTGACAGAACTGCTGATAGTGCTAAACAGCCTGTCTTCAAGGCCTTGGCCAGATCTGCAAGAGAGCATTCGCGACGTTTTGGGTCAAGGAGGCCTCCACCAGGACTCTGGCGTCCGTGTGAACGAGGCGAGGAGGCGTTTTCTGTGTCTCTTTGTTCCTATAGTTCCTTCCTTTTTTTCTTTTTTTTTTTTTTTTTTTTTGCGTTGGTTCATAGGTATGGATATACATTATATGTAATAAAACAAGTACAGTTCAAGAAACAAACAGGCACATGTAATGTATGTACAATACATGCACATTAATAGAAACTTTTTTCGAGTTTTTTTTTTATTTATCAGATCAGCATTATTAGGACAGTTCTGAAGACCATGTAATGAACATTTAGAAACATTTACAGCAGCCTCCATATGGTTTGCATCTTTGTAGGTAAATAAAAGTAGCAATAGCATGGTTGTACGTAATGTTTTTTTTTTTATTATTGGAAAAAAGTCAATGCAGATGGCGGAGAGATAAATCTGTAACGATATGCAAAATCTCCTTTAATCTTTTTTGGGAGGCATTCGTCGCTTGAAAAACAGAATTTGAATAGTACACTTACTCTATCGTTTTATCTTTGGCATATTTTTCTCACAAAAGGAAGAAATACAACAAAAATGTCTTTTTCAGTGCTTCTGAAGAGAATGAGACCAATCCCACTACTGTAACTGTCCTGAGCCATCGACGGCCTATACTTATGTTTCTTTTCCTTTTAGGTACTAATGAAGAATTATAAACTTCAAATTGCTATTTGATAAAAAAAGTATTCAACATTAAAGCAGTAGAAAACTAAAATCCTTAGAACTCAGTAATGCTATGGCAGTTGCTA